CTCTACTTCCCAGCAGTGACTTCTTCAGCCAGCTCTGGTTACTGCTCCAGGGCAAGATTGCTGTGCTGCAACAGGACGATTAATCCTGCTGGCTTCCCTCAGAGGTTTGTGATGTACAGAAAGGTGAGAGAAGGGGAGAGGGAATCTATCATGTCCTTGCTGGTGTTTTACTTGTGTCTGCAGCCTCATCTTTATATAAAATTGCACCGTTGAATTAAATGTGGTGTTTCTATATGCTCTAGAGTCTGTATGGACACACATAATTGAGCCTGCAGGAAGGATTTATATGTTTGCTAAGCTTAAACAGTTATGAGAGAACAGTTTTGGGAAAAGTTCCCTGAGAAAAGCCATATTTGAGCTCAGCTACTTGGAGAAAGGAGAGGATGGAGGAACAGGTGAAACAGCCAGGAAGAATCAACCCTGAGACAGTACAAAGGATCAGAAAGGAAGGATGTTTGTGATAGTAAGAGCTATAGAAATTGCAGAGAAGGAAATTCCAAAGCACAACCAATGAGGAAGGAAGGCCCTGACAACTCACCGTAACCACCTTGGCCATGAGAAGCCTGAATCACACAGCCAAATGACCAACCAAAGAGCAAAGAGCTCACTGATTTCCTCTTCTTGTGCTCAGTTCTTCACAATGCTGAAGTGATTTGAAGGAGCTGAGTCAATATTAATTAGAACATGGACTACCTTAGTGTATTTTGTGGCTGCAAGGCTGCCTGCCCTCTAAGCTCTGCCTTGTTGATTTGGAAATTAAGGGGTGAAGGATTCCTTATTTTTGTAGATGGGACAACAGAAAACGTAACTATGAGTAAAAAAAAGATGAACTGTGTGTCTAGGTTCCTGTACTTGGCAGTGTTTGCTCTTCTACAATGTGATGAAGATGTGAAGCTCCCAAGATTGGGGATAGATGGATCTGGCCTTTAACTCATGTCCCTTCCCTCTGATGACCTCAGCAATACCGGTGGAGCAACTGCAGGATGGTGTCAGACCTCAGGTATTAAAGAAGTTGATCAGCAGTGGGGTCCCAAGAAAATTCCTTTCAGCCCCAATTCACGTGACTACTAGAGCTGCATTATTGACATGATGCATTCACAGATCTCACAGCAGCTCATTAATTTCTTATCACTTGGATGTAACTTAATGCCCTGTTACCATGAGGATATGTGAAGGCCAGGAAAACAAAGAGGAGAGGTAAAGACCTCCAAGACCTTTGCAAATAGCATGCCCCAGGATTATTTAACTGTCTGTTTAGATGCAGTAGTCTACAGGGTGAAATGCACCAGGAGATTTTAATTTCCAGGAAGGCTGATTTTCTATCTCATCCAAAATATGCTACCATCACTACAGCATCCCAGATAACATAATGGGATCAGACAAGTTTTTGCTGAATCACTGTAGCTGCATCTGATCTTAGGTAAACACTACAGGCACTTGGGTCAGTGCTTGAGGGAATATATGTATGGAAGTGTTTCCTTTATGAGTCACCCACGCCATTTACTGTGGCACAGTTCTTCACACCATACTGTGGCACTGATACCTGAACTCTTAGAAGAGTGCTTTACTTTGAGTCATCGGCTGTAGATCTCCCCCAGGATACCCTCTGATGGAGGACAGCAGCATGCAAAGCAGAAAACAGCAACATGAGTGAGAAGGGAACGTGCAGAAGTATTCCTCTCTCCCAGCCATGAAGGGAGTCCAGCAATCTTTGTCAATATCATGAATCAAGGAGGGGAGGAGGAAATCAAGGTTATTTTCTATCACAAAAATAAATAAATAAATAAAATTAAAAAAAAAATAGGTTAAACAGTTGCTAATCCAGAAAACAGGAGAGCTAAGAGGAGATGTTTCATACCAGATGAAAGCCTGCAGATGCAGAGCCACATCTCTCGGGCAATGTGCTTGGACTGCAAGAGAAAAAAGGGGCGTTCACATGCCGGTGTGCTGCGGCTCCCTCCGGTGTCCACCGCGAGCAAGAGCAGCAGGACACCCCCAGCTATTTCTCTGCGGCTTGTCTGGTATGTAAAATACTGAACAGCTTCCCAGCCAGCAGTTCCATCACCAGCAGCATCGCCCCCAACCGCACCAAGCTCTCCAAATGGAGGGGGTCTGCTAGCACAAGGGACCCACCCGCATCAAGCAGCTGAGGGAGAATGTCTTCCAGTTTGAAAGAAAAATTTAAAGCTCAAAAGCAATCAGCAGAAACCTCACCCAGTACTGGCTCTGGATCCTGTGCTCTGTGAGAGATGGTGGTACATCAACACATTGGTAGACGAAAACATTTGGCATAAATGAAAATTTCCAAATAAATGTGTTCAAAACTCACGTGGTCTTCAGGATGTTTTTGTTGGCCTGTTAAGCAGTAACAAATGACAACACAGAGGCACAGAGAAAAACAAAAGCTAAACCAAGGTGTGTGGAAAATCGTCCAAACATACTGCTGTGTGGACTTCCAGAAAAAGCCAAGGATCTGAGAGGATTCCTCAAACTAGTGTGTGTTTATAACTTCCATCACACCCTTTTGTTGTTTAATGACCTGTTGAGCATTTCCAATGGACTCACTTTTAGCCGGTCCCTGGAAGTGGGAATGGCGGTATCTTGCTCCAGTGAAAGAGAGGGTTGGTGTTTGGGTTCAGAGGGCTGCCCTGGTGAGCAGGGAAATGCTTAGCTTTCCCCACCCCCTCTACATCTCTTCTGTTATGGTCCACCACTGGTGCATCCCCCAGGAGTCTTGAGAGGACCACAAATAAGAAGGAACCGTCGTTTTCCTCTTGAGCACTGCCCCAACTGATGCTCAGCCACTCTCAAGTAAGAAGTGGTGGCTTCAGTTATGCCATGTGTGGGCAACACAGATCTCATGTGGCTGAAGGACAGTGAGCATTTCCTTTAGCAACTGTGTATAAGGTATTACAGGATTTTATTTTCAATTTGAAATTAGTTGAGAACAAATGAGGGTTACCAAGCTACCAGGATGAGCCTTAGGGGACACAGCTTTCCCTTACAAGGTTTCTGTCTTTCATTGCTTTATGAGGTAGGGAGCTGGGGTAATTTCCTAGTTTTCTCCTTGGCTCCAGGACTAAGATTGTGTCTTAGAGCTCATCCACTTGCCTCCTCAAACCCAGCGGAGTTGTTACAGAAGCAGTAAAGGGAAAAGAAGTCAGTGAAAGCAAGAGCAGGGGGTCGGTCGGGTTGGCTGTTGGAGGAGGAGTTAGGAAAGAGTGGCTATTCCAGTGGGATTTGTGGGGCTTGCACCTCCATCGATCATAAAATGCACCGTGCTTGGAGGCACAGGGGACTCAAGAGGATGGCAGTGAAGGTCAGGTCTCATTCATCGCCTTCCTTCTCACAGTATCACAGTCTAACTAGGTTGGAAGAGACCTCCAAGATCATCAAGTCCATCCCACACCCTAACACGTCAATTAAAGCATGGCACCAAGCGCCACATCCAGTCTTTTTTTTTTCATACATCCGGGGATGGTGACTCCAACACCTCCCCAGCAAAGCATTCTTTCCATATTATTATTATTATTATTATTATTATATTTATTATTCTTTCCATATCCAATATCCAATCTATATCTCCCCTGTCTCAACCAGAGACTGTGTCCTCTGGTTCTGTTCAGTTGCTGCCTGAAGAAAGAGACTGATGCCCACCTGCCTACAACTACCTTTCAGGGAATTGTAGAGAGTGTTAAGTTCTCAGTTTGTGTCTCTCATTTTCCTGCTTTTTAATTTGTGGGTCTCTGTTGGTTTTTTTTGTTTGTTTGGGGTTTTTTTGTTTTTATTTTTTGTTAGATTTTGGGTTTTATTGGGGGGGAGTGTTGTTTTGTTGTTTTTTCCGGTTTTTGTTTGTTTGATTTTTGGTTTTGGTTTTTTTTTTTGTTTTTTTTTT